AGATGGGATCCTAGCTTCCACCTTGTTTTGCTGATAGCCTCCAGGCTCTAATATAAACCACGGATCTAGCCAGATAAACGCTAGATTAGATGTGTTCTGATGTAAACGGGGCGTCCAGTGAGCAATGTAGATTGATCTTCTCACTCAGTAACATTTATTGAGCACATATGCGCCAGGCACATCCAGAACCACCACGTAGCTCATGGGAGTAGCGCCTCTGGAGCCGAACAGTCCAGCACGGAGTCCCTACTTTTCCTGCCCTCATGGGACTTAACATCTAGAGGCGAGACAAACATAATGACCAGGGTGAAACTTGTCACACAAGGGAAAGGACAGAGCACTAGGGCCGTGAGCTCGGGTGCATCTGTTATAACCTCCTCCAGGGTATCAGGGAAGGCTAACTATATTTCAGCCAAGGCTAGAACAGCGAATGGGATTGGTCAGAATAAGTGAGGTAAAGGGGACTTTCCAGTCAAAGAACGGCCCTGTGTGTGGACCCAGAGCGTGTGGCCCAACAGCAGACCTGAAAAAGTACAGTCTAAAGAGAGCAGGGAGGGGAGGCTGAAGAGGAGAGGATGTAGGGCCTTATAAACCTTAAAAGGTAAGGGCAATGTAAAAGCATCAAAGGATTTTAAAGGAGGGGACTGGCATAATTAGTTTGGGGTTGTTAAAAGCTCAAGTATCTTCTCTGGAAAATGAATGTAAAAACACTATATCCAGAGGTGTCAGTGTCATCAATTCCTTCCTGAGCCCGTACGTGCTAAATGTGACACATTACGAAGTGTTCTACGGGATGGAGAAGGTGGCCAGGCAGAGCCAAACATTTCAGGTTTCAGGTGTCTTGTCTCTAAATAGCTGAATAATTAACACAAATCCCCAGATAATTCAAACAGCTGTACTAAATCCCCCGTGTTGGAGCCTGACCGTGGCAGGCTCTCTGTGTTGCCGTGCCTCCACACCTTCTGCTGGCCGTTTGTCAATACAGGGGGCAGTACCATTGATCTTAGCAGGTGCAGACTGACACAGAGCAAAGTGTATTAGAAATAGCACAGTTAAGACTGCAGATCACTCATTAGCCAAGTTAACAGAGAAACATCAACTGAGTCCGCTGATTACGCCCCAAAGAGAGGGATTCAGTAACAGCTGTGCTGGAATGATGGCAAGCAAGTACCACATTTAGAAAATTAGGACTTTCTGGCCTATTTTAACTGGGATATACGCTCGTTGTTAACACCATCAAGGAATGAGAACAACAAGGGACCTAATAAATTAATGAGAGACTCCCCAGGACATCTAAATACAAGGTTATTAACAGAAAACAATAGAGAGGAAAAAAGGACCCGAACCTCCTGCGACTGCAGGACCACACAGTGATATTCTATTTAAACATGTTTCAGTGTGTGTCTCTGCGGACACACAGTGACTCACATACAGCTCTTGGAAAAGCATCAACTTTTTTTGTGGCGCTGATTCTCCAAGAACCTGATGAGTTTCTTTGAGAGAGAAGTAGCTGCCCAATGTAGCTCAGCTGTACGCAATCTGAGTTGCTCTCCTACATATAAACCCTCACTTCAAAGCCAGGGACATAATGTACAATTTTTTAATGGCTCTAGACCCAGGCACTCAGGTGCTCCGCTCTGCGCCTTACCTCAGTGTAAACACCTAATCAAGATTGCCTGCGCTCCGACAATAGCAGCAAATGCAATTCGAGAACCACAAGCCTTTGAAGTCCTCCCAGCAAAGGCCGGTTTTCTAGTCTGGGATAATGACATGCCATGATTGCTGTCTTTGTTGTATCTTTTCAGTGGAGAAGCAATTATGGCCCCAATTTAACAGAATAGACATTACACAGCTTATGATGCTCAAAATCAATTTCATTTGATCATTTTCTCGATTTGATTGGTATTAATAGAATGGTTCACCAAGGAAGAAAAAAGAAATAGCTAGCAGAGGTTGTGTCCCATTCCACTTTCAAAGAGATAATGTAGAAGTATGTTTTACTCACTCAGAGACTCAGTGGAGTGATTCAGACACCAAGTTCTACCAAAACAGCCTGTGGATGGAAATATTATACATCCTATGTTCTCTGGGGAAGGAAGTGTAGGACAATGTATTTTTCATCTGTAAAATTTTTATCAGAGCTCCATAAGGGATCCCATCGTTGTTAATCAAACAATGAATATCACCAGTGAAAAACCAAATTAACTAAGTCCCCTTTACAAAAGCCGGAATCAAACCCCCTAGTGGCAGATCTAGGAATAAACCCAACTTCTCCCAGGCTCCAGCTTGTCCAAGACATTGCGTGTTTGACGTTTAAAAAAGGAGGATTTCCTCGCCTGCTTAGGCAGCCTATTTAGATTTCTTTTCCTGCCCCGACCTTCATTTCTCCTCCAGGATGGAGGTGATTTTTCTTTTAAATGAGTTGTGTATCTGTTTAACGTCATGGCAGTAAGGGACCAAAGCCTTTGCAAATGATGACAGAAGCTGTGAAATCTAATACTTTTACCGTCATCCCATGTTTCTGGAACCAGTGAGGGACTGAGAGATGGAAACACGAGAAGTGGTTCCTGACCTTGGGCATTTATAGCATTTACAACTCCAAACTTTCCATCTCAGCACAAGTTAAACTGTTCCACGGTATTGTGAAGTTTTCCATTTGCAGAGTAGGTAATCACTCAAAACCTGTTCATTACTTCCGTCTGTCATTTAAAAATTGCCATGATCCAATAGTACATTTTGTACCTTGTATTAGCGGTGAGAATTCAAACATGGAAAAAGTTATATTTTCATTTTTTCCCATTTTCAGATCCTTTAAGTACTGAAACTTTCACACTATTTCCCTTATTTGTATATATTAGTAGGGCAATTGTGATAGGGAGGCATTCAGGGAGAGAGGGGGTTACACCCAAAACAAAAGGAACAAATTGTCTTTCTTGTGTCAGAGAAGCCACCTTGAGTGGTAAGGAATGAGGTTATCTTCACTGTCAAATGCCTGCTTACTAGTTAATATTTAACAAGTATTTTTGCCTCTTTCTGCATTGAATACTAGTCTGCATAAAAAGTCAGCAGCAGAGGGAGAATTTAAACCCAGCCATAACAGATTCTAAACCCCATGCTCTTTCCAGCGTTCCACCTTGCTACTTCTCACACCACACAGCCCACCAGGGGAAATTTAACAAAACAAGTATCAAATCCTGAATCTAAATTTTAAAATTAAGGACATCAGTTTAGAAATGGGGAGACCAGCATCTTGCAGGTGACAAAGCAGGGTGGCCACAGGACCCCATATGAATAATCTTTCCCAGGAGGAATGACAAAGACATCTTGAGAAGTCTTCTATATAAGAGAAGGCTTGGGGAAGGCATCTTAGGTTCTACCAGTTTAGGGCTGTTTTCCGACAGAGGGATTGACTTATTCTACGTTATTTCAAAGGGCAGAGGGATAGAAATTACAGACAGACCTATCACTGCTCTTATAAGGAAGAGCCTTATAGCATTTAGGTTTCTGGAGGATGGAAAATAATGTTTATCACTGATACAACAGAGATTCAAAGGTCTAACATTTTACTCCAGGGAGTGTTTGAAAGGACCAGGTCTCCCACAGAAAGGAACTGTTCACAAGCCACCTTGTTCCTTCTTTCTCTGTCAAGATCTTTAAACCTATGCGAATAGTGACAAGCAGATAACTCCTGCCTGGAGAAGGGGCAAGTGATTAGGCAGTGAGGGGAGGAACGTCTACCAGGTGTACTGGATAGACGTTGTTGATAGAGGGTGTACTGGATAATTACCGCCAGAATCTTTGCCAACATTACTATCGCAGAACTTTAAGTTTGCTTTCTGAAATGCTACCTGGTGGCTAGAATTCCGTATAGCACAGAAGACAATCTAATTCCTTGACTTAAAACAGGTAGCTAATGAGAGCCTCCATAATTTGGGGACCTAAATCCATCAATAATTTGGGGACCTAAATCCATCAATAATTTGGGGACTTAAATCCATCAATAATTTGGGGACCTAAATCCATCAATAATTTGGGGACCGAAATCCCACACAGCTGCCTTCATCACTGGCTCCCAAACCTGTCTTCAGGTTAGACCCACCTGGGGAGCTTTTAAAGTACGAGACTTATATCTGGGGCCACCCCCAGAGCTTCTGATTTAATTGATCTGGGATGGGACCAGAACATTAACTTTTAAAAGCTTCCTAGGTTATTCTAATATCTTTCTGAAGTTGAGCACCACTAACCTACATCATTCCAATTTATGGGGTGTCAAAACTACAAAGTCTGCAAGTCAAAGATGATATTTCCAATAAGTGAGTTAATTTAGCAAAATCGCTAAATGTACAGTCTCTGGAGTTAGACTGCCTGGCTCCTCTGCTTACTAGCTGTTGATTCTGGGCAAGTTACTTAACCTCTCTGTTCCTCAGTTTTGTCATTTGCAAAAAGGGGATAATAAAAGGTACATACCTGGTAAGACTGTTGTGAGAATTAACTAATGTATACGAAGTGCTTAGGACAGCTATCATGAGCATTCAATGTATATTAGTTATTTTTGTTGTTCTTATCATCATCTTGGGGTATAGTGTTATTTCATAATTTGTTTGGTATACTTAAACATTAGTTGCAGCGTCCGGCTCAGATAACTGTTCGAAAATCAGGTCCCCTGAGTACGTATTGAGCATTTAAAGTATTGGGTTGGCCAAAAAATTCATTCGGGTTTTTCCCATAATCTTACGGAACGAATTTTTTGGCCAACCCAATAATTAGTAGTTTGACCTCAACACACCAATTCTCACATCATCCCTGCAAGAGAAAACATTGTTTATTCCCATTTTCCTTGGGAATAATCCAGATACCTAAGGACTGAGATGAATCCTTGAAATGAACTATAAATAAAATGTAACCCTGCAGGACCTCTTTCTAGAGTACAGACTCGAGCCCCATGGCCATAAGACTAAAATGAATCCAGTTAACGTGCTGTATATGTTTTACCCCCTTAGATCTCCTACCCCGTCAGAGTAACTGACAAGACGTCTATTCAGAACACCAGAGAGACTGGAAATGTCACTATCGACCCTGAAGACAAATGGCATCAAAAAGCCCAACAGCTAAAGGTCACCTGCTAGATTGAATTTTAAGTGTGTTTCAAGGGTTACTGCTGGATCTAAGTGATGTTTGTGACTGGCATCTTATCACTTAAGGGTTTATTCTTATGCCTGAGAATAGCTACCCACCTTCTGATGGGTAAGACTGCCTTCTGCCCAGATGGGTCATTACTTGCTCAGCTAGCCAACCCTACCCACTTTCCCGGTGTTCTATTTCCTAGAGAAAAATCATCATATCACTCTTCAAACATTCAGAGGAATGGCATAGAGAAAATACAGGCAGGAAAAAAAAATCACAGTTCCAGAATACTGTCCAATACTGTGCTGCTCCCAAGTCTGTCTCCTTTTGGAGTTATCATTCATACAGTATCCCTAGGTGATGGGGGATATGGTCCCTAAAAATGGGTGGGAATCCCCAGAGCCTCACTGAGGCCTCGTCTGCAGAACATAAACGCCTACTACCTAGTAATTTAGCGTGATGACATCCCTTTTTTTGGCCATGGGTTTACTACTTTGAAATCACAATATGGTTTCAGGGAAGATTTTTATGAAACCGTCCCCACTGATTGTTTTTCTAGAAGAATCAAGAACAGTTCTAGCAGCTGATGTCTTCTCAATCCAGTGTATATTGTTACATGGGGCAGTTGCTCTTGTACCGGGCTTTATACCTGCTTCGTAAGGGATAAAGCCCTTTGAAATCACCCAGCCTGTAGGGCCTGTTGACGTCATTAGTTAAAACTATGTACAGCGGAAAAGTAATAAGAAGAAGAATAAAATTCATTCCAGTTTCAGAAAAGTTAGAAAAGAGGGACAGTTCAAATCATCTTTTTGCCTCTGCAGTAGCCTCCAGGCTACTCTTAGAGTTGCCAAAAAAAAAAAAAAAAAACAGAAAGAAAGAAAGAAAGAAATGAAAACAGCCGTTCACCTGAAGCTTCCTGAAAGCTGATGCCAGGGAGGCCACACCCAGAAGTTGGGAGGATGGGGACAAATGTCTCCTAGAAGTGGACCCAGAGGACAGGGTCTCCTACCGGACCTGATGGAGAGCCTAGGCAGCTCGGCCAACAGGATCGAGGGGACAAAGGAAACGCCTTAAGGCTTGTTACGTGTTGTGGGTAAAGGACTGGGTCAGAAGACAGGGAGCTCTGGGCCCTGACCTGCCATTTACTCAATGCGTGACTTGGGCAAATCTCAGCTTCCCCCGAGCCTTAAGTTTCTTTTTTCTTAAACAAAGCATTGGCCGAAATGAACTACAAGGTCCATCCCAGCTGCAAAATGCTATAAATCTATGATCCTTTATCTCTAGTTACTTAAATTACTATAGGAAACACAGTTGAAGCATGTAGGCTTCTTGCAAACTCTAGCTTTCACACTTGTCACTAGGAGTCTCGGCCAATGATAAAATAATCAAGGTAAAATCACGGTGCTTAACGCATGGCATGGCCCTAGGCAGAGACAGTAAGAAACTTCGTACAGAAGAAAATCAGAAGAAAGCAAAAAGGATACTGTTTCATCTCTGAGGGTACAAGACTCATTTGTTTCTAACCCACTCCTGAGGAAAGGCAATAAGGAGCAAAGCATCTTAAGACTGTTGCATCTAAATGACAGCAAGACCGAGCAGCCAAAGGGATGTTTCCCTTTCTTTATTCGGAAAGGATTTGTTAGGTGTTCGCTGCGCGTCCTGCATGCTGGCGGGGCACTCAGTATACAAACCTCCAGGCTGACTTCTTTTCTCCTCTTCAACTACCCAGCTCAGATGGCTTCTCTGTGGTCCCCCTCCTGCCTCTCCCACCCCTGTCCTGGTGTGCCTGTGGCTGGGACCACTCCGCCAGGGTTTAATCCTATTCGGCCATTGTCTCATTAGCTGTTGCCTGTGTTTCTTTTGTACCAACTACACGATAAGCTCCTTGAACCTTAGCATTGTATTCCTCTCCACCTCCTAGCACATTGCTTTACCCAAAGCTGATCTCAATATTTAATGGTTGATTAAAAAAACCATTTAAAGGTCATTTAGTGAATCTCAAGTGAAAATGGGCCTCATTTGAAATCTTTTTCTTGAAAGATGATTTTCAAAGAATCTGCATATCCCTCAGAAAACTTACTCTAACAATGAGTAACTCACTACTAAGAAATACCTTTACGTGAAATCAAAATAATTCAGACAACAAATATTTATTGAGTACCTACTATATTCCAACCACTAGCTTTTAGGTGACTAGCCCAAAAGACATGTTTTTTTTTAAAAAAAAAACTCTTCAGAAAAGTAAATAAAACTTGACAAAAGATCCTTTTAAAAAAAAAAGATTCCTACCCTCAAGGAGCTTAAAACTTTTGGTAGTGGGAAAACAGTTATGTAATCATTATAATGCAGTGATATAAAAGTAGGTATAATTTAATTCTTTCTTTTAGTGTAACTAAAAGAGCACCTAATTCTGCCCTAAAAAGACAGGAAAAGCTTCCTGAAAAGAGAGAGCACCTGAGCTGCCCCTAGAAGGATGAGTCAAAATATGCCAAGTAGACGAATGGGAGCAGAGGTGTAAAAATGCAGGGCAATCTAGCCTGTCCTGAGTATTACCTGGAGTTCAGTAGCTAAAGGGCAAAGCATGAGGGACACAGGGCTGGGCAGGTCAGCTAGGAGCCATGAAAGGCTTTTTATGCCGATCAAAAGATTTTCAATTTTATCCTACGGAGAGCAGGAAGCCACTGGCAAATTGTAAGCAGGTTAATGACATCATTGGGCTTGCATGTTAACAAACTGCCAAGGTCTGAAGAATAGACTGGAAGAGAATAATAAAGATTGCAGAGACAGCGGAACCAGTCAGGCGACTTCTGCTGTAATTTCTGCAAGAGATGATGAGAGAACTGGAAAGGTGGCAGCATTTGCTCTGTTTGCCCCACACTCCACATGCCATCAGTTCGCTTTGCAGGATGGTGGGTATATCTTTTTCCACTGGCTGGACTGAACTCCTGGCAGGTTAGGACAGCACCTGATCCCCCTCAGCCCCTGCCTTGAGGTGGTCAGGAAGTGGAATGAACAAACTTAGCAATTGCTTAAATACACGGTGAACGTGGGAGAGAGAAAGAGAATAATTTCTGAGTGTCTGATTAGTGGCACCAACACCACTGAGCAAGAAAAGGAGGGCTTTGGTTCTGGGAATGAAAGAGGGGTGCGTGAGGCCAGCAGTGGGCCTGACGTTGAGTTAGGAGGTGCCTGTAGGGAGGAGGACCTAGAACTCAGGAGAGACATCTGAGTTAGCCTGTATACATTTGCATCATAAGAATTCCCTGGTGGGTTGCAGCCATGGGAATTGCTGAGCTGCCCCAGGAATTGTAGGTAGTGGGAGAAGAAAGGAAGGTCAAGAACAGGGCCCTGGAGAAATCGGTAAGAATATTTTAAGGGAGAGCAGAGGTAGAGAAGGTAAAAGATTACAAAGGGATTGCCAGAGAGGCAGAAAGCTGGCCAGGATAAAACAGTGTCATGGAACCTGAGACATGAAAACTTCAAGGAAGGGAAATCAGTGAACAAGGTTCAACTCTGCAGAGAAGACAAGTAAAAAGGTGCCACGAAAAGGGAGTGATATATGCAACTCATATATGCAAGTTTCAAATGATTCAGACAAACTAAGTAATGATGATACAAACAATAATACTATAAATGATAGAATGTAGATTTGTTTGTCTACAAATGGAGAGTGGGAGATCTACAGAAAGAGAGAGAATGAAGAAATGCGGCTAAATGTTAAAAAGTGGTGGATCAGTGAGGATATTTGGGGGTTCTCTGTGCTATTCTTGCCATTTTTCTGTAAGTTTGAAATAATTGTGTAAGTTTGAAAAAACAGAAAGTTAAAGAAGATGGTACCACAGGATTTAGCACTAAAAGGTCATTGGTGGCCTGAGCAAAGCGGTTTCAGTGAGAATAAGGGCTCTCCCGCAGGATACAGAGGTCAGAATGAGAGCTGGAGAAATGATGACCAGCCTACATTTTAAGATGTCTGGCTGTGGATTAAGAGATGAGGTTTAACCAGAGAATGAGATCAAGTAAGGGATTGTTTCATTTTTGTTTTTTAATAGAAGAGGTTTAAACACATTTATATGCTGAAAGGATCAGAAACTGGAGATAGAGGACAAGAAAAGAAAGGGTGATATGCTGGAAACAAGGTCCCTGGACCATTTAAGCCTGTGTGTTTTCACTTTAAAAATACTGAGAGTTCAGAGCTCCCACCGCAGGAGCTTCAGCCCAACCCTGGGTTCATGAACCAAGATCCCACGAGCCGCCTGGGGCAGCCAAAAAAAATAAAATAAATAACAAAGTAAAAAATAAAATTAGACTAGGAAACTAACAGATATGTTAGGAAGAATATAAAAATAAAGATGAATCAATGGCCAGAAGGTACAACAATATCACAATAGTAAAAAAAGAAGAAGAGGAAAAAAAAAAAAAAGGGTGGGGGGGAAGGCCCTGGCTGTGGAGGGTGGGGCCTAAGGGTGAGGTTTGGGCAGTGGGTGGGGCAAAATGCTCAGGACCCACAGGGCTGAAAAAGGCCCTGGGGGCTGTGGAGGGTGTGGCTTAGGCTCAAGGAACAGAAGGGGCCCAGGGTGCCCTCCACTCCTGGTCTCAGAGGGCAGGGGACCTCACCTGGGAGCCTAGCAGGCTTCCTGGGCTTGAATGGGCAGGGCAAACGCCCTCCTCTCCTCTCCTGATCCTCCGTCTGGGAGGGCCCCTCCTGCCTGCCTCTCCTGATCTTCCTGTCCTCCCTCCTATGCCCCCAAGGAGCTATGCAGCCTGGAGAGGGCTTTGGAGGGCAGGGGATCGGCCTGGGAGCTCAGGAGGCTCCCCAGGCCCGAGTGGGCAGGGCAATTGCCCTCTGCTTCTCTCCCGCTCAGCTCCTCCCGGAGGGCCCCTCCCACCTGCCCCTCCTGATCTCCCAGGCCTCCCTCTTATGAACCACTGAACTAACAGAGAACCTTAGACCCCAGGGAATATTCATCATCGGAGTGAGGTCTGACGGAGT